TTTCTTCAATCCCACAATTACTGAGTATCTACTCTGTATAAAGAGTTATGCACTGGGGACACCAAAATGACGGAGTCTGGGTCCCTGGTCTCACCAGGAAATGGGGAGGTAGGCAGGCAAACAACTAAATATCATAAGGATCATGATATAAGGGTGAAGACATGGCTCTGGTTCTGTGTAATCACAGAATTATAGTCTGTAATCCCAACTACCTCTTTCACAAATTAGGAAAACAAGACTCCAAAAGGTATGTCAAATGTCCAAGTTAACATAAATAGCCACGAAGGGTTACTCTGGCTCTTTATAATTCAACAGTACTAGCAAACCTATTTTCCTCTTCAACAATTGCTCACTGTGTCATCTGCTTTCAGAATGAAGGGAGAAGAGTGGAAATCAAAGAAGAGAGTGTTAACCACATCAGAACAGGCTGACAGGCAAATTTTGGATCAAGAAGTCATAATGAATCATTTAGGTGATTTATGAATTTGAAATATTAAGGAGATGGAATTAAGTGGGCTTTTCTGCAGAATCTAGAAATTTCTGGATTATGATTTTGATTGAGCTTTGATTTAGACTCATTATCAAAACCCAACCTAAGAGTGAAAAACAACAAAGAAAACCCAACCTAAATGTATAAAAATTCATAGTTTTAGATAAAGAAAATTCTTTCCATGATATTCCTAAGATCTAAAACAGAACATTTTTAAGGAGTACAATTACAGCAATACCTTTTAGAATGATGCTACTAGGGTAAGGCTTAGGAAGTCTGAAAAACTTCCTTCTGTTGTCCCCTGGCCACTAAAATGGATTTTAACACCTCATAAACAAAATACAGAGGTCTAGTCCAGAATACTTTCCTTAACTCAAAGGACAGCTGTTGTAAATCTGCAAAATTAATCCACAGTCGCAGAATACTTGCTATAATTAGAAGGTTACTATGAATGTCAACCATTTATAGCCCATATTCTGACTTACTCTAAATATGCCAGTACAGTTTATTTGTTGCAATATTTCAACCATTACTTTGGATTCTGCATTTCTACTTACAAATCTAAAATCTTTCTTTGGGGAGAAATATAAAAAACACTTTCTTTTTTTTTAACTAAAGGAAATTTAAAGGATAAAATATTAAGCAAAGTTTGCTATGCAAAAGAACAAAAAATTAAGTTGCCTGGATAAGTTAATGATGCCACTCAAACTGGAAATTATGATAGTTTAAGTAACCGAGGTGTAAGGGAGTGGTAATGCAGACCAATAAACTGGGTGCTTTTAAGACCTAATATGCAAAATAAGTGGATTGTGTCTGAAATCAAGTTCTTTCAAAAGTAAAAAATATCGTTCCAATTTTAGCATAGGTACTGCAGAAGCGGGCACTCAAAAGTAAAAAATAAACAATATCTGAATCCCATTGTCATAGATACTCTCTGAAACAAGATTTTATGAATAAAAAACAAGTATGCTTAAAGAGAGTGGAAACTGAGATTCTCTCCATTCTAGCAGGTTTTAATGTCATCCCTTGAGAGAGCAATTCTGTTTATCTTTCTCCAATTCTCTCATTTTTCAGAGCAGGACACGAAGTTTTCAAACTACAGAACCTCAGTTTTTCCCACCTACCCCTAAGAAACACAAAGATCCTCTCTCCGTGTTTTGATTGTTCTATTAAAAAAGTAAAAATAAAAAAATAACTTGCATTTAGGTAGCAGTGTCTTTTGCAAGGTGGTTTGAGATCTTAAAAAAAAAAACAAAAAAACAGAGAGCATATAAAACGTAACAGGATGGAGCTGCTCTGAAAGGTCTCGTTTGGCCCAGTGTTTTCATTTGGAAGCATCACAGAAAAGAAGTCGAGACTTGATTCGTGCAAGAGGGCTCTCCATAAAGGTCTGACTCGGAGCAGGGCAGGATCTTTGCTTTTGTTGTTGTTGTTTTGTTTTTTTTCTTCAGGAAATGGCATCCTATGATAGGGAGGGGCCAGAAGGAGATGGAAGCTTTACGTTTCTGAGTAAGAGGGCATCCACTCTTCCATTCCTGAGAACCTTCAATATTCTTTTTATTTTATTTAAATGTTATTCATTCATTCATGAGAGACACACAGAAAGAGAGAGAGAGAGAGAGAGAGAGGCAGAGACACAGGCAGAGGGAGAAGCAGCTCCCTGTGGGGAGCCCGACGCGGGACCCGATCCCAGGCCTCCAGGGTCACGCCCTGGCCTCCAGGGTCACGCCCCGGGCTGCCCCATGTCCTTGAACCACGCTGTGTCTCTCGGAGGCCCCACCGCGACGCGGGCAGCTCCACAGGCCTGCGCAACAGCAGTTCGCCAACCCAGACACGCGACGGCCGCCGCGCCTCCCGCCGCTGCGGGGCGGACTGAGGGGTCGCGCCGCCGGAAGCGGCCGCCAGAGCATCACCCCGGCGGGTCACCACAGCCATTAAGGTGCCCTTACTCGCCCGGGGCCTTTCACCCCGACCCCTCCGCGCTTGGCTTTCGAGAGCTGGAGCTCGCCGCACAAACCTAAGTGGCTTCTCTCCGCTGCCATCAAATGACCCAGTTTTAGTTCTTCGGCCACACCCATTCTCTACCTGGAATTACACCAATTCCTCCGCTCGCGGCCCGCGTCCCCCCCGGGCGCCCCCGAGCCCCAGCGGCGCCCGGCCCCGCCCCCGCCCCCGCCCCCGCCCCGGGTCGCGCCGAGCCTGCTTCCCCGGCTGCCCCCGCCGAGTCGGCCCGCGGAGGCCGTGGCGCGGCCCGGGCCTCGCGTGCAGCGCTTACCCATCACCTGGACCCTGCAGATGGCGCACGTATCGCACTCCACGTCCCAGCTCCACATGGCCACCGCGTTCCACTTCTTGAGAGAGAACATTTTGTCGCCTCCGGACTTGGAGCCTGCGCTCCCGGAGTGAGAGGACACGGCGCAGGGCTCCTCGCCGTCTTCCACGTCGGCCATGGCGGCGGCGCGGAGCCGGCAGCCGAGACGTTAAATCGGGGGAGGCGGGCGGCTATGGCGGCTCCGCGGGGCCGCCCGGCGGGCTAGAGCGCCGCCTGCAGGCCGCGGAGCCCGGCGGCGCCTTCGACCGGGGCCGCCTCGATTGGCCGGCGCGGCCCAGTGACGTCACTGACGCCAGCGCCCGGCCGCTCGTCGCCCCGCCCCGCCCCGCCCCGCCCCCGGCCCGCGGGGGCCCCCCGGAGGGCGAGGCCTGCAGGGCGACTGCGCGCGAAGCCTGGGTGCCCCGCGGCCCGGAGCGACCTGCCGTGTGCCTCCCGGGAGCTCAGCGCCCTCACAGGCCTCTCGTTCGTGGCACCGCCGCCACCCGCGTGTGGACCCCGCCGGAGCGGGGACCGTGTCTTCGCCCTCGGGGCCTCGTCCTCCGTCTGCAGGAGACGTTTGCCTCCGGGGGGTCTTGTGACAAACCTGGTTCAGCGGTTCTCAGACTTTTGGGGCCCAGCACCCCGTTATAGTCTGCCTGCTTTTTAAGAAACTTAAATCGAGGGCAGCCCGGGTGGCTCAGCGGTTTGGCGCCGCCTTCGACCCAGGTCGTGACCCTGGAGACCCGGGATCGAGTCCCACCCACGTCGGGCTCCCTGCATGGAGCCTGCTCCTCCCTCTGCCTGTGTCTCTGCTCACCCCCCTCTGTCTCTCATGAATAAATAAAATCTTTTTAAAAAATTGAGGGGAGGATTGAAATGCATTCATTTAAAAGTAACGGTGACAGGGGCTCCTGGGTGGCTCCTGGTGGCTCAGTGGTTGAGCGTTTGCCTTTGGCTCAGGTCGTGATCCTCGGATCCGGGGTCGAGTCCCACATCCTTGCAGGGAGCCTGCTTCTCCCTCTTGTCTTTGCCTCTGCCTCTCTCTGTCTCTAATAAATAAATAAAATCTCTCTCTAAAAAAAAAAAAACTAATAGTAATACTCTCATTACAAGTTATTAGAAGGATGGTGCCCCATATAATGTAGCTTCTGGAAAACTCTCTCATAAAGAGGGAAAAGAGGGAGAATAGCTCTGAATCCTGGCATGCAAATAGTTTTGACCCGCTGGTCGCCTGCAAGGATGCCACGGACGCAGGGGTCCGTGCTCCAAGAACCTCTGCTGCTGTTTAACCTCCTCTTTTTAATGTGTAGGAGTAACACCGCTGTTATCATGTGAACGTGCCAGTTGTGAAGCCTGGGCGCTTCCATTGCTAGCCTCGGGGTCATGTTCTTCTGTTTTCTCAAGCAAAGAGACAACATCTTCCTTTTTAAGAGATAAGAAAGTTGAGGTACAAAATGCCTAAGGAGATGACTCATTACCACCACCACCTAGTGGTGGACGCCTGTAGTGTCGGGTTTGGGATTCCAAGCCTCCCACCTCCGGTTCCTGGGCCTCTCCGCCTCTCCGCAGGCCGGGCCTTGTGTCTGGATGGGGGCTAACCAAACTCCAGGAGCCAGGCTGAGGACACAAGGATCCATAAATATGTAAAAATAGAGATATGGACACAGGGTCACATTTGGCGAGATGTTATGTGTGCTACTTGTCGAGTGGAATGTTAAGTGGTGTGAGGGACAGAGGCATCCCTGAGGACTGATGTGTGGGGAAAAGCCTCAGGGAAGGGGTCAAGTTTGAACTGGGGGGGGGGGGGGGAGGAGGGCAGGGTATGAGTGAAGAAAGCACACCTTTCCAAGCTGTCAGCCGGAGCACTAGTGGTGACAGATGTTAATCTCACCACACTAACTTTATGAGCCAGATTAAAATGCCTATAAACAAACCCAGATGAACATGTTTTGTTCATATTAAACGACCATACATCTGACTAGAGATGGTTCTAAATGTGAGCTAGCTAACAAAGGAGGAAGGCAAGATGAGGATAAAAATGCACTCAAGTTGTTGGGAGCTGGCCAGTTTGAGAGGGAAAAGGAGAAAAACTCAGATGAAAGGATGAAAGCCTAGAGAATGCCTTTTTATTTTCACACTTTAACATCTCTGAAATTGGACAGAACTTCCCCTACCTGCTCCAGCTGGATTGCTCTCTGCACTTAGAAAAAACTTACTCATCTTCACTCCTTGCCAACGTATATTCATGCACTGCCCGGGAAATCACGGCACTTTCTGTGTTTCTTCCACTCTTTTGGCACTGGGTCACATAGCAAGTAAAAAGTGCTGTTACTGATGTTTATTGAACAATTTCAAGTTTTTTTTTTTAATTGATCGCTCATAAATGATAAAAATGTTAAAATAGTAAAATAAGTATACAATGAAAAAAAAAGCAAGTACTGTTAATAGACTCTCCAGAAATTCCTGAGTATGTACAAACACATAATACAACTCCTTAAACATTTTTTAAAAAAGATTGTATTTTGGGGCAGCCCTGCTGGCTCAGCAGTTTGGCGCTGCCTTCAGCCCAGGGTGTGATCCTGGAGACCCGGGATGGAGTCCCACGTCGGGCTCCCTGCGTGGAACCTGCTTCTCCCTCTGCCTCTGCCTCTGCCTCTCTCTCTGTGTGTGTGTCTCTCGTGAATAAATAAATAAAATCTTAAAAAAAAAAGATTTTATTTTAAGTAATCTCTACACCCAACATGGGGCTAGAACTTACAATCTTGAGATCAAGAGTCACACACTCTACTGATTAAGAGAGTCAAGTGCCCCTAATTTTTTTTATTGTTATATAACACACATAACGCAGTTTACCACCTCTTTAAGTGTAGAGTTCAGCAATATTAAGTACATTTACATTGTTTTTGTTTCATTTTGTTTTCAACGAGGCTCCATGCCCAAGATGGAACCCAATGCAGGGCTTGAACTCATGGCCCTGAGATCAAGACCTGAGCTGAGATCAAGGGTCGGATGCTTATTTTTTAAAATTATGATTCTTTTTTTTTTTAGAAGTTTTATTTATTTGTCAGAGAGAGAGTGTGCGTGTGCACACCCAAGCAGGGGGAGTGGCAGGCAGAGAGAGAAGGAGGCTCCCCACTGAGCAAGGAGTCCAATGTGGGAGTCGATTTCAGGACTCTGGGATCATGACCTGAGCCAAAGGCAGATGCTTAACCAACTGAGCCAACTAGGCATCTCAGGACATTTACACTGTTATGCAAGCACTTTCCAGAACTTTTTCATCTTCTAAAACTAAAACTATATTCATTAAATAACTTTCTAGCTCTCCTTCTTCCACTGGCAACCAGCATTCTTTGTTTCTGAGTTTGATTACCCTAGGTGCCTCACTGAAGTAGAATCATACAGTATTTGTCTTTTGGAGACTGGTAGCACAGTGCCTTGAAGGTTCATCCATGTTACGGCATGTGATAGAACTTCCTTCCTTTTTAAGGCCAAATAATAATCCACTATATGGATAGATCACATTTTGCTTATCCATTCCTCTGACAATGGATATTTGAGTTGCTTGCACCTGTTGACTATTGTGAATAATGCCACTAGGAACATGAGTATGCAAAGATCTCTTCAAAATCCTGCTTTCATTTCTTTTGAGTATATACCCAGAAGTGAGATTACTGGCTCATATTACATCAATTCATTTTTATTTTTTTTTAAGATTTTATTTATTTATTCATGAGACAGACAGAGAGAGAGAGAGAGAGAGGCAGAGACACAGGCAGAGGGAGAAGCAGGCTTCCCATGGGGAGCCCCGTGTGGGACTCGATCTCAGGACCCTGGGATCATGACCTGAGCTGACGGCAGACACTCAACCACGGAGCCACCCAAGTGCCTCTCAATCCATTTTTCATATGAGTTTTTACACATATTATTAACTCACCTGCTTTTAAAATATATATATATATTATATAAAAATATAATATATATTAATATATAAAATTATATAAAAATATATTTTTTAAAAGTAATCTCTACACTCAACATGAGGCTCAAACTTACTACCCTGAGATCAAGAGTTGGATGCTCCATCGACTGAGCCAGGCAGGAATCCCTCTAGCCTGCTCTTTTTGTTTAATAGTAACAGTAGGACAGCTTTCCATATAAGCACTTCCTTATCCATATTATTCTCAATGGCTGCAGAGTATTCCACTAAGTACGTTTTCTGTATTTTATTTCCCTGAGAATCCTTCAAGACATTAAGCTGTTTCCAATGTATAATAAAGTGTTGCATTAAACATCATTGCAAACATTTCCTTACAAATGTGTCACAGTATATTTGTAAAATAAGTTTCTACAAGAATACCTACGTCAGAAGTTATGTATTTTTCATTTTGATTACATTGCCGGATTTTACACTCTTAAAATGTCAGTCGCAAATTTCAAAAAGGTCTTTGTTTCCTTTTTTTTTTTTTTTAAAGCAGGTACAATTTCTCAGGAGGCCTCACACATTGGATATATAAGTTCTGAAGATCTATTATATTATTTCAATTCTTATACTCTATTATTGTTTACTTTTAACATATGAGGATCTTTTTTCCTAGCTAGATGCCAAAATATTTAAGGGTGAACATAATTTACTGTAACCATTCTTACCTTCACAGATAGTTTGGTTCTACAGACTTGCCAGAACTTGATTTGTACATGGTATGAATGACAGTCTTGCCTTTTTTTTTTAATACATTCGTTCCTTTATTTGTTTGTTTTTTATTTTGAGTAGGCTCCACATCCAACGTGGGGCTTGAACTCACAACCCTGAGATCATATGCTCTACCAACTGAGCCAGCCAGGTGCCCCTATGGTCTTGCTTTTCGTGTGTGTGTGTGTGTGTGTGTGTGTGTGTGTGTGTGTGTGTTTAAACTTCAAAATGGAGAGGTCTTCAGTCTTTTATTCTTCTTTTTAATTTTTCCTGTGTAGCTACTCCAAGTGAAATAACCAGAATCATTCAATTCTAACAACAACAATAATAACTGCCACTAATATTTATATTTGGACATGCACTTTGAAATAAGTATTGCCCAAAAATGCTTGACAGGTGTCATCTCATTCAGTGCTCATCAAATGAGACAGGTGCTAGTTTTACCTATATCAGGGAAAACTGAGGCTAAGTGAGGCTAACTGACTTGGCCAATGTTACACACCTGGAAATCAGCAGTTTTCTACAGAGGATTCCAGTCTATTTCATTCCCCAGTCCAGGCTTTTCATTCACACCATATCATCATGGCATATAACTTCCAGTTAATCCAACTTATCATCCATCCATTGGTCAACCACACCTCTTCCCTTCCTCATGGAGCAGACATCTTCATTAGGGGAAGAGAGGGCAAAGTGATTAGAAGTTTCCTCATTTGGGGAAGATCGCCATTTTGGGGATCATCTTTCAGAAAGTGGTTATTTCCAAATATTCCTACTGTTCAACTGTATATATACTTATGAAAGAAGATTCTTTCTTTCTTAGATAAAGATCATGATTTCCTTCAAATCATAAATTTCACATGCATATGAGAAGCCCCAGAGAGGAATCCTATCTATTTTTAACTAAGGCCAACTTGTGAAACCCACATTTTAGAAAATGACAAGCATAGTAGGATTCACACTATTTTGAACTTTCATTAAATAGTCATCAAATTTTAGAATTTGAAAGTGGCTTGGTTCCAGTGAAAATTACTATTATAGAACAAGCAATATCTTTCTAGGCATGTCCGGTTGGCCATGGAATGGATAACTTCCATAAAGATATATAGCATCCATATTCAGTATTTAGCCTGTGAAATAATGAACAAAAAATCATAAATTAAAAAAAGAAACAAGGAAGTTCAACTTCATACAATAGACAGTAAACATATGTAAAGCATCACCACCTAGTAGATCCCACATGTTTCATAAATAGTTTAGGTAAATTCACCATTTCAAATCCACAATAAGCTAACAGGAACCAGGATCTGGGGGCACTGGGGTGGGGGAGCTGAAGACAGGAGGCAAGGTTTGCACTAACATTTGAGGAATGACCATCATCCACCAGAATGGGCTGATGGTTTAGAATACCGTTAACCAGGACCAAAATTCTTATGATTTTATCAAGTGCAAAATCTGCTGAGGGTGGCATCTACCCTAGTTTAGTGCCCAGGCTCGATATACACAACTCCCCTGGTGGCTGCAACTCACAGACATAGATATCGAAGAGCATACCTTTTTCTTCTTTTTACGGGTAATACTCGATTTCTTGGTATTTTTCCAAATAGATTTGAAGGTGTCCGAAGAGACTTGAGGAGTGATTATAATTTTTAAGATTGGGAGTTTACCTGAGGGGGGTGAACATAACAGTAAATGGGTAGGATATCTCATAACTCCATTTGATGGACTGGTATTAGCTTCTGAGAAGGGCATTCTCATACATTCTTATTAACTGGGCATCTTCCCTCTCACTGAATACATTTTCCCTATATCTTCTTGATGTGAGTGATCCATAACAATTTATTTCTGTGATAACTCATCACTCTAGTTCTTTCTTTTCCATTCCTACTGTCATATGTTTACTTGGATAATTGCAGGAGACTTCCAACTTGTCTTCCTAGCTTCAGACTTCCCCAACCCCAAGTCCATCCTAGAATCTACTCCCAGATTAATCATCTGAAAGTGAAATTCTGCTCTTGTCATTCATCACCTCTAATACTTTATTGACTCTTCATCTTTAGTGGACCTCTCTTGGTTTTGCTTATCCAGCTTGCATTTTAGCTTCTTTCTGGAACAGAATCTTGAATTTACTTTGGGGTTCCACTCCCCTGTCCTCCAGGGGTGGATAGACACATAACCCAGATCTGGCCAATTAGTGGATTAATTCTCCCTGTCAGAGTGGTTGGTTAACAGGTATGTGACTCATGATGGTCCACTGAAATCAGGAGAAAAGTTCTTTCTTGAGTTTAAACTGGTACAATGGAAACTTATGGCCAATGCTGCCCGACTTGCTACTGTGTGGGAAGAAACTGCCTGAGAATCAAGTCAACACAAGCAGAACTTCCAGGAGATAAAGGTAGGTAGTGTTACTGAATCCCTAAATCCAGCTGGACCTGTAGCTAGAGTCACCCTGGACTTTTAGATATATGGGTCAACAATTTTGTGTGTGTGTATTTAGATCAGTTTGAGTTGGTCTTGTATGGCTTGAAACCAAGATTTCTCACTGATTTTCCTATAAAGCAAGATTTGTGATTTATAAGAAATATATATTTAGATTATTCAGATCTCTCACATATATTTGGCCTTTGTCCATGGTTCCTGGCTCCAAAACCTTTGGAGTTTCCTGAGCAGTAAGAGAACTGTGAGCATTTTTTGATCTCTTAGGTGTGTGGGAGGGGATGGATGAAATAGGTGATGGGGATTAAAGCGTACACCTATCATGATGAGCACTGAGTCACGTACAGAAGTGTTGAATCACTATATTGCATACTTGAAGCTAATATAACACTCTATGTTAACTACACTGGAATTTTTTTTAAAAAGGAAAACTTGAAAAATATATTTGGTTCCTTGTTCTCAGTTCCTGAAAACGCCTTAGAGCTGTAAAGGTGAAATGGGTACCTTGCAATTCATAACAAACCCCTTCCCACCACACCTGAGTTTATGTAAATGAGGAGACTTTGGGACAGCACCTAAGGATGGGGCTGGTGGCCAGGGGAACTAACCATAAATAGAGGCTTAGAACATTCAGTCCTATCCCCTGATTCTCCAGGGAGGGGAAAGGAGCTGGAGATTGAATCAATCACCAATGGCCAGGGGCACCTGGGTGGTTCAGTGGTTGAGTGTCTGCCTTTGGCTCAGGTCGTGGTCCTAGAGACCTAGGATTGAGTCCTGCATCAGGCTCCCCCACAGGGAGCCTGCTTCTCCCTCTGCCTGTGTCTCTGCCTCTCTCTGTGTGACTCTCATGAATAAATAAAATCTTTTTAAAAAATTCACCAATGGTCAGTGATTTAATCAATTATGCCTATATAAAAAAGCCTCCATAAAAATCCAAAGGACAGGATTCAAACAGCTTCCAGGTTGGGAAACCAGAATGCTTCCACGTGCCACCATGCTGGGCTCCAAACTCCATGAGGACAGAGCTTCTTTGTTTAAAACCTCGCCCTCTGTATCTCTTCACCTGGCTATTGATTTGTATCCCTTAATATCCTTTGTAATAAATCAGCAATTTAGTGAATAAATTGGTTTCCTGAGTCATAATAGCTGTTCTAGCCAATTAATCAAACCTAAGGATGGGGTCATGAAAACCTCAGATTGAGCCAGCCAGTCAGAAGCACAGGTAACAATCTGGACTTGCTATCGATGTCTGAAGTGGTGGTGGTGGTGGAAGGGGATAGTCTTGTGGGACTGAGGCCTTAACCTGTGGAATTTGATGCTATCCCCAGGTAGGTAGGGTCAGAATTGAGTTGAATGGTAGGACACCCAGCTAGTATTTGGGAATGGCTTGGTGGTGTGTGGAAAAGCCTACTCCTGAGGATCCCTGGGTGGCTTAGTGGTTTGGCACCTGCCTTTAGCCCAGGGCATGATCCTGGGGTCCTGGGATTGAGTCCCACATTGGGCTCCCCGCATGGAGTCTGCTTCTCCCTCTGCCTGTATCTCTGACTCTCTCTCTCTCTCTCTCTCTCTCTCTCTCGAATAAATAAACAAAATCTTTAAAAGAAAAAAAGGCCTACTCCCATACATCAAAATTGGGGTCAGAATAATAAGACTCAAATACCTAGCATGCCATTCTGAAAGCCTGTGTCAACCCATCCTTCTGTTATTTCTCATGGCGCTTGCCCTTCTCCCCCTTCCTGTTTCTCATCTAGCCAAATGTCTGGGCAGTGCTTGCAGGACCACAGGTGCCTCCAGCTGTAGTTTCTGGAGGTCAGGATCCACCAGGAAGAGGCCAGAAGCAGAAAGGTAAGTAAGAAATATGGTTGAGAGGAAAAAATAAGAACCTTAAAAATAGTACTGCATGTACTATAAATAAGTACTTAAAAATAGTGCTGCATAACCCTCCAGAAGATCAATTGAGATTGAAACATGAAAATGGTTGTAAGAGCATGGGAACAAATCATGCTGGGCACAGTAAAAGGGTAGTAGAGGGTAAGGTGGATGAATATGGATAAGGGACCTGGAGGTAGAAGACAATACAGTTTACAGTTTATAATATCAGGACTTAGAAAGGGCTAGAAGCCATGTCACTGAGAGCTTGGGTGGCACATATGTGCCTGGAAGATAAGCAAAGTCAGTATTCTATTTAGATGTTTTCCTCTGGTGAGTAGCGCTTATTGGTACTCGGTGTGGTCATCCATCTTATGGGTGATCACAAAAAAAGGTGTGGTTGGGGGGGGTGGGATGTTGCTCTGATACTTCAGGGTGGGGTTGGGCCATAACAAAATCTAAGACAATAATTTCCCAGGGGTGTGCCTGGATTGAGGGGTTGTGCAGTAGCCCTTCATGTTTCCTGGGTCTAATTTTGGCCCAGTGTCTTCCACATTTCCTTATAGAGCAGCAAGTTATACACCTATACAGTCTGCTAGGTGACTTGAGGGACCATGTGGAATGCCTAGAAAAGAACCTGGTGTCTCACTTAGGCCACTCTAATGGGGTCCCTGGCTTCAAAGGCCTTTGATTAGGTCTAGTGTAGACCAGTTGACCTATCTATCATAATCTAAAGGAGCTTGAGGCAAATACTTCTAGTTCTCTAATATCTTTTCTGATCTTCTTTTCTTTCTTTTTAAGATTTTAAAAATTTATTTGAGAGAGAGAGAGCAAGTAGGGGGGAGGAGCAGATGGAGAGGGAGAAGCAGGCTCACACTAAGCAGGGAGCCCAACATGGGGCTCCACCCCTGCACCCCAGGATCATGACCTGAGCTGAAAGCAGACGCTTAACTGATTGAGCCACCCAGGCACCCTCTGACCTTATTTTCTAACAGAGCTCAGATTTTTTATATGGCAGCAATGTGCCCAGCTAAAAATGAAGGATGGGCATGTGACAGGTTTCTGACCAACTGGAAAGCATAAGTATGCTGGGTATTTCTGAAATTTCCTCATACAAGTACCGGCACTTTCTCCTTGTCCCTTCCTTCTGGTCTGGAATGGAAATGGGAGGCTCTCAGTGAAGTAGCTACCTTACAGCTATGAGGATAAAAGCTACCTGCTAAGGCTGATGGTGGAGAAAGAGAAATGAATGATATTGAGGCGTATCTATACCTGCTCAGTCTTCCTCTACCTGATTAAGCCACTATAGCTGGTTCTCTAGTTCATGTAGTCAAATATCATCTTTAACTGATGCAGAAGTTAATAGCAAATAGGAAGAAATCATTGTCAGGGAGAAGGCCCACCTATAGAGCAGGACAGGAGGCAGAAAACAAGGTCAATCAGAAAACAAGGTCTAAAGTCTTGACCACTGTGAAGGTCAGGAGGGAGTGTAGGCTATATAGCTCAGGCTGTGAGGAATGTTCGGGGCTGGAAACCATGTGAAATGGGGCCAGTAATGTGGTATGGGGGCCAGCTTGAAGCCTCAGAGGATTGATGCTACAACCACACCCACAAAAAACACGGTCTTGTTCCCTGAACACCACATTTTTTATCATCCTTTTCACTTCTTTATAAAACTCTAGCCCTTCACATTCATGCGTGAGGCCTCTAACTCCTTAGTGGAAGCTGAGGTGATTTAAGATAGCAGGAGAGGGATCCCTGGGTGGCGCAGCGGTTTGGCGCCTGCCTTTGGCCCAGGGCGCGATCCTGGAGACCCGGGATCGAATCCCACGTCGGGCTCCCGGTGCATGGAGCCTGCTTCTTCCTCTACCTGTGTCTCTGCCTCTCTCTCTCTCTCTCTCTCTCTTTCTCTCTCTCTCTCTCTCTCTGTGACTATCATAAATAAATAAAAAAAAATTAAAAAAAAAAAAGATAGGAGATATTGGGCTGTGCCTTGGTGGCTTAGTTGGTTAAGTGTCTAACCTCGGCTCAGATCATGATCACCTGAGCTGAAGTCAGACGCTTAACCAACTGAGCCACCCAGGTGCCCCAAAGTTCTTTTTATATTATTTGCTATTTCCAGTAAAAATTTTACGTATTGACTGTTACCCTTCCTCTGACCAAACCTCTCAAGAGTGATATTTCACAATTTTTAGTTAAAATCAACACATGGTGTATTGATTCGTACGGTCATATATTTTTTGTACACAGTGTTTATAACTCTTTTTTTTTAAGATTTTATTTTTAAGTGATCTTTATACCCAACTTGAACGTACAACCTCAAGATTAGGAGTTGTACACTCTACTGAATGAGCCAGCCAGC